AGAAAAGCCCCCTCAGATGCCGAGAGTATCAGTCAATGCCCCCGCTGTATTGTTAGCTAGTACCTCCAGGGCAGCCGCTAAATTAATTATTTCCCTAAGAGTTCGGGCAGTTCCATAAAGGGGAAAAAGGATCATCCAGAACCTTTCCCTTTCAGGTATTTCCCTTTGTTGTCGGCCCCAACGAGGATGTTCCTTGGGGTGACTCATAATTCGTAAATGAGGGACCAAATATGCTAAGTAACAACAACCCTTCCAAGGGCGGCCCTGGGATTTAGTGATTCCACCATTGTCTGCTTTGTCTCCTGGCAACCAGGTGTAGGCCCGGTTCCCGCACACCCAATAGGTTCCATTTAGAGGCCGTGGAAGAGCAATACTCTGATTCTTTACACAGGAGCTGTATCCCACGTCATGGGGCACACTCTGAGTATGGCTACAGTAACAGGTAGCGTTCACCTGATCTTTAGGAGGGGGCACTATCAAAGCAGTCACTAACTTCTGGGCATCTGAGGGGGCTTTTCTTGCTCTCCACCCTTCAAAACAACACGGCTGACAATCACTACCGAGTTGATATAGTGAGCAGTTGACCGCACTACCGTTAGTGGAAGCCGAAAAGGTTTGTATTGAAGTTACTTCACTGGCATTGAGGGGGACAATAGACATGGGAATCATGGCCTCACCGTGCTGGTGAATCTCAGCACATACCCAACAACACTCCCCGCTCTACCAGTTTGGCATATGTATGACAGAGGGATAGAAAGGTGTTAGCCCGAAATCCTTCTGTCCTCAGAGTAAAATCCCCCAAAGTCACCAGAGCCACAATTATCCAATGCATTTTTCTTCCTTAATCCTTCTCTGTTCCTTCACTGACTCGTTTACAGTCGGTTCTATGAATCCAGCGGGGTTGTCCTTGCACTTTCACAGCTGTGGGGGTGGTCAGCAACACCTGATATGGTCCTTTCCACCTTGGTTCCAACTTTCCCCGGTCCCAGTTCTTAATCAGGACAAAATCTCCAGGGTCTACAGTAGGGTAGTCTCCTTCAGACAGATTGTCACCCTCTCAATAGGCTTGGCGTACCTGTGAATGTAAACTTTGGAGAGTTTTGGTTAACTTGTGCAGGTATTTTCCCATTTCCTCCCCCAGAGTGTGCATATCCAATTTTTCAGGAATGGGTGGTCGGTCTATCCTAAGTCCGCATGGGGTCCGCATGGGCTTCCCATAGACAATCTCAGCGGGAGATAACCCTGTTTTACCTGAGGGGGTAACTCTCATATGGAATAGCGCCAAAGGTAGGACCTTCAACCAGTTCAGTCCTGTCTCCTGTGTTAACTTGGCCAACTTATTCTTTAGAGTGCCGTTTGCTCGTTCCACTATCCCGGCTGCCTTTGGATGGCGAGTGCAGTGGAACTGTTGCTTTATAGCTAGCTCTTTGCAGATCTCCTCGTTTACTCTAGCTACAAAGTGTGGTCCATTGTCGGAGCTTATCTTTTCTGGAAGTCCATAACGGGGAATTATTTCCCTCAACAATATTTTTACCACTGTTGTAGCAATATTGTCAGTCGTTGGGATGCCTTCGATCCATGTACTAAATACATCTACTATTACTAAACAATACTTATAACAATGTACTCTAGGTAGTTCTATAAAATCAAGTTGTAGACAAGCAAAAGGCCCACCTGGCAAGGGGGTGGTTCCAGAACCACAGGGCATTCCTCTTCCAGCATTCGTCTTTTTACAGTACTAGCCTCAGACTTCTCTTTTCTCCCTGCAAGGGTTTTTGGTCCCTTCCAATTCAGACGCAACCCACCCTCCTTATACAAGTCACTTTTGCCCCAGAAGAGATCCTAGTGATTCAAAAATGTGGATCCCTGCCCCCTGCACAAGTTCCTCAGTCACACATTCATGTGCCTTATCCTCCTAATTCTGTTCTTACTCCCGGTGCCATGTGCTAGTAATCCAGATGTTGCTACTGTTGAGGACCTACTTTTTAACCTCTTGCCTAATTTCCATATTCTCTCTGCAGAACCACATCCCTTTCTCTTAAGTCGTTGGTACAAAAATGTACAACGACCTTCTGCTGGTCACACTGCCTTTTTAGAATATGCTGCACCCTCTCTGAGACATCATTGAATCTGGTACCAGAGAGGCAACACACCATTCTGATGTCTTGCTGTTAGCCGCAGAAACGTCTGTCTGTGCCCTTGACTATAGGGTCTCCTATCACAATCGATCGCTTGGAACCTGCCATATCCCTCATTATAACAAAGTTATTGAAGTTCTTTTGCAGAAGCAACTTGTGGTATGGATAAAGAAGAAACAGTGGTGTATTCTACTATGATTTCCAGCAGGCATATGATAAGACACCACATAAATGGTCACTGCAGAAAATAAAAACTCAGTGTTGGGGGTAACAAATTGGTATGGATAGAAGATTGGCTGGCTAATAGGAAGCAAAGAGTAGGAATAAATGTCTTTTTCAGTGGTAGGATGACACAAATGGTGCACCGCTGGTGTCTAAACTCTTTACAGTTTATAAAATTCGTTTGAATGAAGGGACCGAAGGTATAGTAGCTAAGTTTTGTGAAGATACAGAAAAGTAGGAAAGTGCGTTGTGTAGAGGACATATGGAGCCTGCAAAGTATGACTGGGCAAAGATCTGGCAAATGGAGTATAATGTGGAAATGTGTGCAATTGTCCATTTTGGCAGAAAGAATTTAAAAAAAGCATATTATCTAAATGGTGAGAGATTGTAGAGCTCTAACATGCAGAGGGATCTGGGTGTCTGAGTGAAGTTTGGTTTGCAAGTACAATGGGTAATCGGGAAAGTTAGAAGAATGTTATGTTTTATTACAAGGAGAATTGAATGCAAGAGTAAAGAGGTTATACTTCATTTGTAAAGGAAGGTGGTAAGACCACATGTAGAGTATCATGTACATAACTAGTCACTGTACTTAGTGGAAGGATGTTAATGAGTTGGAAGCAATTCAGAACGTTTACGAGACTAATAACGAGAATGAGCGTGAATACAATGTGGAGCTGGAGGAACACAACAGGTCAGGCAGCATCAGAGGAGCAGGAGAGTCGATGTTTCCAGCTACACTCTTCATCAGGACCGATTGCATCTTCTGGCACTACAGTCAACCTTACCCCAGCTCAGAGCTTCTCTCTTTCTCCCAGACCTGCAAAAAAAAACGTCCTGAAGGGTCTAGGCCCGCATCTGCAGTTCTTGCTACCACCTAGAATGAGCGGATTTTCCTATGAAGAAAGGGTAGACATGCTAGGCCTATATCCTCTGGAGTTTTGAAGAGGTGACTTCATTGAAACATAGAAAATCTTGAGGGGTCTTAACCTGGTGGATGTGGAAAGGATGTTTCCTCTTATGGGAGAATGTAGAACTAGGAGTCATGGTTTAAAAATAAGAGATACCAATTTAAGACAGATGAGAAAAAAAGTTTCTCAGAGGGTCAAATGTATTTGGAAGTATATTGTGCAATGTTTTTAAGGCAAAGGTACATTGATTACCAAGGGATTGGAGTATTATTGGGGATATGCAGGAATGTAGAGTTGAGATTAAAATCAGATCAGCCATGATCTGATTGAATGACGGAGTAGGCTGAAAGGGCAAAGTGGCCTACACTTCATATATTGGTAGGAAAGCACCATATTCTCACTGAGATAACAAGGTGTAGAGCTGGATGAATACAGCAGGCCAAGCAGCATCAGAGGAGCAGGAAAGCTGAAGTTTCGGGTCTGGACCCTCAAAACATCAGCTTTCCTGCTCCTCTGATGCTGGTTGGCCTGCTGTGTTCATCCAACTCTACACCTTGTTATCTCAGATTCTCCAGCATCGGCAGTTCCTACTATCTCTGAATATTCTCACTGAGATATTTTTGTGTGTCAGTCTCTCTGTCTAACCATGTATGGGGATGGTTTTTGGAAGAACAAGTAGTGCTCATCTTGCTCAAAGCTATGCTACAGTACTAGTGGCTCAGATTCTTCATGCAGTACACATTATGACTAAGAGGGATAGGGATCTGCTGTAATAAATTTAACAGGCTGTTAATAAAGTATGCACTATTTTCTCTAAGTACTCCATTGCCACTTGATGGTTCCAGTTAGATTGGGACTTCTCATGGTCAGTGTGCATGTGATATTATCCTCCTACTGTATGTTGTAACTTGTATGCAATTTGCTGTCATATCACAAATAGAATTACAGGGGTGGTGATAACAGTAACTGTAAGATTGATATTCATGCAGATACCAATGCACATTTACTGTAGGTTCTTATTTTTAGGTTCTGACAATTTGGAAATGTTAAATGGAGCATCGCTTATTGATTGAAATCGTGATGATCTCACTCAAATCTAAGCACCCAGTAGTACAATGTACTGTTTTGTTATTTACTCAACTGATAGTCACTGTTTAGTAAACATTTTGCAGGCAAAGACAAAACCCTTTTGTGTGAGATATAGGACCAAGGGCCACCAATTAAGACAGGTGTTGAGAAGTTTCCTCTGGGGGTAGTCAGTCTTTAGAATTGCTTATTAAAGCTGCTTAAGGCAGTGTTATTAAGCATAATCAAGGCTGCGATAGAAAGATTTTTAATCAGCAAGGTATTTAAGGATGATGGGGATAAGGCAGGAAGGTGATGTTACGATTAGATCAGCGATGGTCTGGTTGAGTGGCAGAGCAGACAGAAGTAGCCTATTTCTGCCCCTATGTCTTATGATCCTGTGGTAGCAGGTGTGGAAATCAAACACTTCGAAATACCGACAGTTCCAGGTTTTGTTTACACTGTGTAATCTGAAGTGATCTCAATTCTTGAATCAATTTTAAATTCTTCTTGACAAACTTCCCAATGGACACAACATTCATCCCAAGTTATTAATGCATGTTGCCTCTATAACAGTGGTGCATTTACTGACTGCAAACACTGGCGAGTTGTCACAATACAATGTGTATAGAACTTCAAATAATCAAACTCATATATGCCATCACAGGTAACAAGAACAAGAACAGGTTTGAACACACCAGTGCCTAAGCAATAATACTGACGGGATACATGTCCAAAGATGGAGTTTCCTGAATTGGGACAACATTGTTCAGAGAATTCCTGCAAAAGGCTGGGTAAGGGTGAAAACATCATCAAAATATTAATCATCTTTCAAACATTTCACTGCTGCCTTTTCTTAGTAGATTAGGAGAGAAAGATATCCATTTGAGAAGCATCAAGTTAATATTTAGCTTTCCTAAGTGTCTACCCTTAATTTTAATTTTCCAACTCTTAACTTTTTTGTCCCACGCTCACATCTCCAAAGTTAATTCTCATAAAACTAGGAGCAAGGGTAGACCATCTAGCCAGTTGAGCTAATTCTACCATTCAGTAAAACCACGACTGTTCTTTAGTTTCTCTCCCACTCCCCTTGAGAGACCAAAAATTGCGTTATCTCAGCCTTAGATGTTTGTTGATTGAGTCTCCACAACCATCAGAGGTAAAGAACTCCAAAGATACATTAGCCTTAGAGTGAAGAAGTTTCTCCTCATCTTGATTGTACGTGATCATTCCCTTCTTCTGAGACTCGGATGTTCTAGATCTTGTTTGGATTTGAATGGTGGAGCAGTATCGATGGGCCAAATGGCCGCCTCCTGTTCCTATATCTTATGGCCTGACTCCACAGCTGGAAGAATCAACTTCGGTAACTACCCTTGAAGTCCATTCTAAATCTTTTAGTTTTCAATTTGATGACTTCTTTCCTGAGTTCTAGAGAATGTAGGCATAATCGACTCACCCGCTCATCATAGGACATCCCTTCCATCCCCAGGTCCAGTCAAATGAGCCATCACTCTGCCACTTCCAATGAAACTATTTCCTTGCTTAAATATGGAGACTAAAATTGCACATGGTATTTTAAAGGCAGCTTGTTGCAACACCCCATTTCTGCTGAACGAGTTTGTGGCCATACTTTCTGAAATTGTTTTATGCTGATCCGAACCCTTTCCAACTTTACCTTTTCTGATCCTTTGCTGAGCTCTGGCCCTATATCCTCTCCATTACAAAGACTGCCTGCCTCTCCCTCCGGCGTCACTTGTACCCATTCCTCAGCATGTCTAGTGCTGATGCCCTCCACCATACCTTTGTTACATCTAGACTCTCAGTTCCTATGGATTTCTGAATGGCTGGCTTCCCGTTTTCCACCATGAGCAAAGCTCCAAAACTGTGCTGAATGCTAATCCATGCCAAGTTTGTTTACCTGTGGCCTTGCTCACCAACTGACATTGGGCTACAGGTCTACCAATGCTTTGCTTTTACAGTTATCCTTGTGATTAAATTTTTCAATGGCCTTGATCCTTCCTTTTTCTTTAACTTTGCCCAGACTTGCATCTGTTCAAAGACTCTGCATTATGGTCATAAGAACCAGAAGCAGGACTAGGCTGTTCAGCCCTTGTGCCTGTTCTGTCATTCAATAAACTCATAGCTGATTTGATTTTAACATCAAGTTCACATTTCTGCCTACCCATGATTGTCTTTCAGCACCTTGCTTAACAAGATCTATTTACTTCTGTCTTAAAAATATTCAAGGACTCTGCTTCCATCACCTTTTCAAGAAGAGAGTTCTAAGGAGTCATGATCTTCTGAGGAAAGAAAATTGCCCCATCTCCGTTTTTAGTGGATGCATCCTGATTTTTAAACAGTGACTCCCAGTTTTCAATTCTCCCATAAGAGGAAACATCCTGTGGACATCTACCCAGTCAAGACCTTTCTGGAACTTGTACTGTTCAGTCAAGTGGCCTCTTAATCTTCTGAATCACAAAGGATAAAAGCTTAACAAGTCCAACCTTTAACTGGTCTTTTGTGTTTCCAGCACTTTTTGTCCCACCGTAGCTGGAATTCTCTTCCTAGAACTTCGCATCTGTCTACTGGTTTAAGGTACACTTTAAAACCGACCTCCTTGTCCTAATGTTTTGTTATATGCCTTATTATCTCGTCTCCTAGCTCAGTGTTAATTTTTACCGGGTAAGTGAACTTTGGGATGTTTTATTGTATAAAAATGTGTTCTATTAAAGTTGCATTTATGTAGTACCTCGCATGTGCTAAATCAATTTCTTCCTGTCATCACTTTAGACCTGCTAAGGACCTTCTTGTGTCTTTCAGATTTTCTTCCCATGAAATGTGATGCATGTTCACAAATCTTCTGCAAGGATCACATCAATTATGAACAGCACAAGTGTACATCGTCCTATAAAAAGGTTCTGTACCATTTTTAACTATGTGCTTTGTATGTTTTATGTGTGACAATGGAATGTATGTTCAACCTCTCGTCAAATTAATTTGAAATCTGACCTGTCCCAACTTGAATGAGGGCTGTTCGCTTTGGAATAAGTTCAGAAAATGCAAGATAAAGTTTTTGGCTATGTTTCTTTTTCAGTTTCCTCACGTTTTATTTCCTGACCCCTACTGGAGTTGCAACCATGGGTTCCAGCAGTCCTCTTGTATGTTGCCAAATGATTCTTCCTGTGAGCTAGACAGTCTGTGACTGTAGATGACATGGCAACAAAACCTGAACCTATCTACGTGCACTTTCAATACTGCTCAAGTTCAGGAATTATATGTATCCATTTTTCATGTTTTGTTTGAACTTTAGCGCTGGTTCATAAATGAAACCGCAGATCTAGCTGAAGTGTATGTTTCATTCCTAGAAATTGTTATGAGGAGATTGGGCACATAACTCGTAGAATGAGGGCAGGTTATGTTTGTCATCTCGTGTTCCCCTGATAGTTAGGGAATTTGGGGATTTTGACGCGGTCACAAAGAAAGAACACAATATATCGCCACCAATGGCTTTTGATTGAAAGGGCAGCTTTTTTTTTCACTATACTTAATGTACACTCGATTATTTCCAGGACATACAGGTACCTGTGTGCCCGCTGTGTAACACACCTGTTCCTGTCAGAAGGGGAGAAATGCCAGACATCCGGGTTGGTGAACATATTGACAGAGAGTGTAAATCTGACCCTGCTCAGAAAAAGCGTAAGGTAAGTCCATGTTTTTCCACTTTTCTTTCCCTTTCATTTTCCCATCTCAAGCTGACATATGGTGCAATGATACTGCTCGTTACCCAGTGCGATATAGAAGGTGCCATTCTTCATAAGAACATAAGAACTAGAAGTAGGAGTAGGCCGTCCGGCCCTTCGAGCCTGCTCCGCCATTCAATAAGATCATGGCTGATCTTTTCGTGGACTCAGATCCACTTACCCGCATTCTCTCCGTATCCCTTAATTCCTTTATTGTTCAAAAAAAATCTACCTTATCTTTAAAAACGTTTACTGAAGTAGCGTCAACTACTTCACTAGACAAGGAATTCCATAGATTAACAACCCTCTGGATGAAGAAGTTCCTTCTCAATTCAGTCCTAAATCTGCTCCCTCTAATCTTGAGGCTATGCCCTCTTGTCCTAGCTTCACCTGCTAGTGGAAACACCCTCGCTACTTCTATCTTATCTATTCCCTTCATAATTTTATATGTTTCTATAAGATCCCCCCTCAATCTTCTGAATTCCAATGAATATAATCCCAATCTACTCAGTCTCTCCTCATAAGCCAACCCCCTCAACTCCGGAATCAACCTAGTGAACCTCCTTTGCACCCCCTTCAGTGCCAGTACATCCTTTCTCAAGTAAGGAGACCAAAACTGCACTTCATCAGTGAGCTTGGGTCGCCTGTAAGTTGTCAGCTATGGCTCAGTTGATAACACACCCTTAGTCAAAAGTTTGTGAGATCAAGTCCCACTCCTGAGTACACAGAGATAACAAGGTGTAGAGCTGGATGAACACAGCAGGCCAAGCAGCATCAGAGGAGCAGGAAAGCTGACGTTTCGGGCCTAGACCCTTCTTCAGAAATGGGGGAGGGGAAGGGGGTTCTGAAATAAATAGGGAGAGGAGGGGAGGCGGATAGAAGATGGATAAAGGAGAAGATAGGTGGAGAGGAGACAGACGGGTCAAAAAGGTGGGGATGGAGCCAGTAAAGGTGAGTGTAGGTGGGGAGTTAGGGAGGGGATAGGTCAGTCCAGGGAGGACGGACAGGTCAAGGGGGCGGAATGGGGGTAGGGGACAGGTGGGAGGAAGGACAGGTTAGGGAGGCGGGGACAAGCTGGGATGGTTTTGGGATGCGGTTGGGGGAGGGGAGATTTTGAAGCTTGTGAAGTCCACATTGATACCATTGGGCTGCAGGGTTCCCAAGCGAAATATGAGGTGCTGTTCCTGCAACCTTCGGGTGGCGTCGTTTAGTTCGCACTGAACAACTGCACCTCCCAGTCGCGAACCATTTCAACTCCCTCTCCCGTTCCTTAGACGACACGTCCATCCTGGGCCTCCTGCAGTGCCACAACGATGCCACCCAAAGGTTGCAGGAACAGCACCTCATATTTCGCTTGGGAGCCCTGCAGCCCAATGGTATCAATGTGGACTTCACAAGCTTCAAAATCTCCCCTCCCCCAACCGCATCCCAGCTTGTCCCCGCCTCCCTAACCTGTCCTTCCTCCCACCTATCCCCTACCCCCATCTCCTACATACTAGCCTCCTCCCGCCCCCTTGACCTGTCCGTCCTCCCTGGACTGATCTATCCCCTCCCTAATTCCCCACCTACACTCGCCTTTACTGGCTCCATCCCCACCTCTTTGACCTGTCTCTCTCCTCTCCACCTATCTTCTCCTTTATCCATCTTCTATCCGCCTCCCCCTGTCGCTCTATTTATTTCAGAACGCACCCCCCCCCTTCCCCCCCCCCCTTTTTAAAGAAGAGTCTAGGCCCGAAATGTCATCTTTCCTGCTCCTCTGATGCTGCTTGGCCTGCTGTGTTCATCCAGCTCTACACCTCGTTATCTTAGATTCTCCAGCATCTGCAGTTCCTACTATCCCTGAGTACACAGTTCAAGTTGACTCATCAGTGGAGTACTGAGGAAGTTCTGCACTGTTGAAAGAGCTGTCCTTTGGGTAAGATGTCACATTGAGGTCCTGCCAACCCATTCAAGTATCTTTAAAAGGTCCACGGATATATGTAAAATCACTTGTATAAAAATTAAAGTTTGTTTAGTCATTAATCTCACTGATATTTGAGGGACTTTGCAGCAACAAACTATGGCACAGCACTTCCTGCGTTTATTGTAGTGGCCGTACCTCAAAGGTGCTTCAATGTGGAGCACTTGTAACATCATTCACAATGTAACATATTGAGATGTTGTAACATATTGAGATGTTGCAAAAAATGTCATTTAAATGTCAGTTTTTGTTATATTTTATCTTAATCCACAAAACTCTGGGGCTAATCTTGTTCTCAGTTGATGGGCACATCCTTCCGCAACAGCATACTAGATAAACAATGGAACGGGGGGAGCTGTTTTATGGTACACAGTGGTAGTGCCCTTACCCCTGGACCGGGAGGCCTGGGTTGAAGTCCCACCTGCTCCAAAAGTGTGTAATAACATCTTTGAACAGGTTGATTAGAAAAAAATAGGCAAAGAATGGAATGCAGGAATTCTGGTTGTTCGGTTTCAGTCACCCCAACCCTAAAAATCGAGGGCAGGAATTCTGCATGCCAATTAGAGCAACCCACTGTTGTCTTTTTGGATCAGCTGACATTATGCATAGCAGTGGAAAAAGCTTGCCATTTGCTGGGTTTATCTTATCCATAATGGAACTATATGTGCCAACTAAATCAGATGATCTTCCCTGGTCTGGCTGAGTTATCTTATGCTTCAGTTAGCTTGACTCCCACTCATATTAAGATGGCCAAACTAAAGCAGAACCATTTCTCCTGATTGCTTTACAACAATATGTGGATGTTCCTTGAGGACAGATTGAAACCTAATTGTGAAAAATTTGCTGTCGTCGAGTTGCCTTGTTGTGAGGCAAATATGTGACTAATCCTCATTCGGGTGAGTTATCAGTGGCCAAAACTAATATCTGTCTTGTCTGTATGTTTCAGCATTATACCAGCTGATGTATTTTGTGTATCCTGTGTGCAAATGTATGTGTAACTGCAATAACATTTCCAAAATGGTGCTGATGAATCAGCAAATGTATACTTTGCTTTCCAACTGTGACTCACTCTTGTGAAACCTGGATCTCTCTCATCAACCAGAGGGACTGAGAACGGGTACTTGCCCCTAATTTGTAGTGTCTTTCCACTAGAGTTATATTGGTAAGATGGGTGTAAGTCATTTGCTCACAAAAGCGATAGATGTGAAGGTATCCAAAATAAACTAAAAGCTGGGTACAATTTAGGGTGATGGGGGTTAGTTAGGAGGAGAAGAGAAACAGTAAGTTTAAAATATGCATTAACCTTTCTTCTCAATCTCCAGCTTCTCAGCCTAAATCATTCTAGTGATGTTAGGTTTTTGGACATCTTGAGTTTGAATACCAGAGCTGACCTTTCTGTTCTTGGGCTTTTACTCTCCAAATGCCAAATCAAAAAAATCTTTATCCTGCGAAGCAAAAAGTCCCATTGTTTATTTCAGCATGCTGGCTTTCGATTGTAGCCATTGCTGCCATTTTGTACTGAGGATCAGCTGTGTATTCTGTGTAGTCAGGAGCAGTTGTGATCTCCTGCTAATTCAGTTGTCTCACAAATGAATGTGTTTCAGATTTTTACAAACAGGTGCTCGAAGACTGGGTGCAAACAGAAAGAGATGATCAAAGTGACATGTGACCAATGTCACTTAAACTTCTGCTTAAAGCATAGACACCCTTTGGATCATGAATGCAAGGCTGATGGGCAACGTCTCTCCAAAGCAGGGTAAGGAAATGCAAAGCAAAGCTTTTGCCAATACCATGCTTCAGTGGAGAAAGGAATACTGGTAATCCTGTGAAGTGGTGTTTGTTGTGCTCCCAAATATAGTTTAAATGCTTGCAGGCATTATAATGCAAAATTTATACACCGTGTCTTTCCTCATCAAATGAACTGTTGATCTGGTATGAGGGAACAAGAGTTATCAGGGGTAACTAAAAGAAATACATTTTTTTTGAGGGTGCTTAAGACTTCTTAAGAGCTAGCTTTTCCATTCTCAATAACTTTTGTATTAGTTGATGCAATCAGATAATAACATTGCTGTCTGTATTGGTGTAGATCCTTTTAAGATTTCCCTCTTTAGATAGGGTAGCTCAAATACCAGATACTCTGTGTGTATGTAAAAACCCTGTGGGAGGGTGTGTATATGTGATAAATATTTTAACTTGAAATGCATTAGAAAGGTGTTTTTCTTAATTTATTATAAATAAGTCTCCAATGCTCAGTTTCCAAAATGAAAATTCTAACTCCTTGGCAGAAGATAACTTATTGAAAATGAGAGATAGTAAGAACTACCAATGCTGGAGTCAGAGATAACACAGCGTGGAGCTGGAGGAACACAGCTGGCCAGGCAGCATCAGAGGAGCGGGGAAGCTGATGTTTCGGGTTGGGACCCTTCTTCAGAAAAAAAGGGATTCTTCTGATGAAGGGTCCTGACCCGAAACGTCTACTTTCCTGCTCCTTTTGATGCTGCCTGGCCTGCTGTGTTCCTCCAGCTCCATACTATTATTGAAAATGAGTCTTTCATTTCCAGTGCCTTTAAAACAAAAAATTGTCAACAATTGGCACTCTCCAGCATTCTTTAGTTTTTTTTCTCTCAATTTTAAATTTTTTCCTTCTTTGCTCCCTTGTATCTGTTTGAATTGAGCATTGACAAAAATCAGTGCATTGACCTCCAAAGGTCCAAATATGATACAAAGGAAGTACACATCAATTAATTCTGCAACATCAAGCTAACCACAGATAATGAATGGTTTAATTCAGTCATTTTTTCCCAAGCTAATGCACCGTCTCATGATCATTCATGAAATATAGATTAGAACCACTTAAGTCAGAAGCATCCCAGTTACTTTAGAGATACACACTTATAGAGGTACTTAAATGGCTAACAAACCTCAAATGCTATACTATTTATGATGGACAACAAAATCTTACACAAATGTAGAAACTGGCAGAAATATGCTAACAGTCTGAAATCATAGAATGTTACATTGGAGGAGGAGGCAATTTGGTCTGTCATTACCTGTGCCAGCTCTTTGAGAAAGAGCTACAAACTTTAGTCTCTGTTCCTCCTTACTCTTTCACCGTGGCCCGACAAGGTTTTCTCTCTTTTTACCCAATTCCTCAAACTCATTATTAATGAATTGTTAAGGATCTTATGTTAAAGCCAGAAGCTAAATTTAAGTAAGCTTAAACCTTATGGCCCAGACCAAACCCCCTCAAAATATATTAAGAAGATAGCCTAGATCCTAACTTTTTCTTCTTTCCAAAGCAAATGCAAAGCGTTGCATTCCGGATGCAATTGGCTTGGTCAAACTACCAGATTTTAAGTTAAACACACTTTATTTATACACTACAGTTAAAATACAACAACAGAAAGAAGAAATTGGAATAGCTTAACTTATTGGAACGCTTAACAGAATAATAGTTATTTTACTACTAAATAGTAACTATTCCAATATAGTAACATCCCATAAACACACCCTGGACAAAGGCAAATTCAGGAAAATAGATTGTCTCACAGGCTAATCTTCAGTCCAGGCGCCTCTGCCTTAAAACCTCTCTTCAAATTAAAAATCAGGTCAAAATACTCCTCTTAAAGCCATAATATTATCGCGCATTCAATTTAAGTAAAATATAAAAATAAAAGCTTGGCAAAAATTCACTAGCGCCATTGTAGGCAGTAGCACCATCATTAATTCACCAAGCACCCACACCTTCCATGAGATTGAATGTTGCCTGTACCACTCTTAATTTCCCTCAGTTTGATGCAGTAAATCTTCCAAGCAGCCACATTTCTGAATGTAGCAATACTCCTGCTATGCATTGCCAGTCACAATCAATTGTTCTCTTGAGAATGTCTCTGCAGACTAAGGTCTAGATGTTGTTTAAAGAAACTGAGTGCCACACGGTAGAGTTCATTCAGATGACTGCTGTTTCTCCAGCTACTTCTGTTGCTGCTGCTATTTCACTTCCTTCACCCACATCCGTGATTTTGTACTGTCCATCCCCTCAACCTGAGTTAGGACCCAGACCTAACTCAAGCACTGCAGCTGCTGACCTTGGATGAGTTTTGTTGAGTGAGGCCTGTTGCTGCTAGTTGCTATCCTGTTGTCCCTCATCTTGGTGGTTGTGGGGGTGTGCTCAACATGTTAGAGACAATGGGACCATCTAGAATAACCACTCTAACTCCCCAATCACAGGTTCCCTCTATCCTGTCTTTGTTTTTCTAATGATAGATTCTGTCTCTTGAGGTAGCAAGAGTGGCTGAGAACAAACCTGTGATTGGACGAGCTGAGGCAGTGAGCATTGGAGATACAGAATCTGAAATTGAAGCAGCAGTTTTTCACATTGTGTATCTCATGAACTTGGGTAAAATTTCTCTCGACTGTCATACCATCAGTGATTTGCATGGACTTTTGAGGGTGAATTTGCTTATTGCCCCCTATCCCTTAACACTTTTTGTCCCCGAGATCTGCTGTTAATAATTACTTGACAGTTGCTAAGAGATGCGTAGTTAGGGTTGGAATTGTTTCTGCTAAAAGTATACCCTTTTCTCTTTAAATTACGATCTTATCTTTTAGCTCTGCTGCATGACAATTCTAGGTTTGTTTTAATCTCCCATTCAGAGTTTTTGCTTTTCTCTTGGACTCGATGAGTAACTCAGGTTATGAGGTGATGTAGTTAAATCGATTTCAATTGGCAACAGCTCTAAAAGGTGTTACCCTCAGAAATGCCATCTCTTAGCAATGGTTCAGTTAATCTAGAAACATAGCAGTATCTATTTAGTAAGGACTTATTTTGTCATTTGACTCAGTAGCTTCATGTTGAATCTTTTTATTGTATTGTTTCCTTTGGCTACTCTGTTACAGCTTGGGTGTGTACATCGAGTTAGTGTATCATATTGCATCAGATCTTTGTTGAAGCAAGAATATTTGGTTTTAGTATACAGTGTCCAAACATAATGGTGTTTGCCATCTCTTTTATGCCATGGACTGCATCAGAAACCATTATTCTGCCATAAATAATCAAAGCCAAATTGATTGTTACTTTCCAAAAAGAACTGGGTAATTATTTCAATAACAAACCACACAGGAAGAAAATTAGGGGAAACGTATGGAAAACATCAGCCTAAGAGGCTTGAAATTCTTCACTGGGTGAGTGGGAGCGCAAATGCTGGAAGATCTGTTTTTATGAGAGCTGAAATCTTTTTGTATGTTGTGAATATCTTCGTGAAATGGGGTCAGGCTGTAGATCCCTGGCATTGAATTACACAATTCAGTCTGCAGTTTTATTGTGAAATGTATCTCTCCATATACAGTGACTACTTACACCAAAAAAGAAATGACATTCATATTTCGTGCTGTTTGGCACCTGTATTCTGACTTCTAACAAGGGTTCTAGTTGAAGCTAAAGCAGCAATTGTGACAACTGAATTTTTAATGTGCTAAGTACTGTAAATGTTATTTTGACTTATTTTTATTGTTTTATTGGTAAGTCACACTGCTTAAATAACATGGATGCAGTTTAATTGAAAAATTCTGATACTGGATTATTTTACAATCAATCTATAATTTGCAGTAAGGTATTTTGTATGCGTCAGGACTCTAGAATGCTTCTGTTAAACTGCATGGAAAATTCATGTTTTATCATGGTCCTTGTCTCATTAACCTATGCAAATCACAAAGAAAGTGAAAAAAGATTTTAATTACCCTCTTCAGATACGTTATGACCCACCTCGGAGATAGGTAGGATCTGAGTCCGGACTTCCTGGCCCAGAGGTGGAGACGCTATAACTGTCAAATAAGCACAGCTCTTGAAGCAATGACACAACATTCGACTTGTTTTCTGAAATTGCATACTCTGAATGAATGTGAATAGATTAGCGTAGTTTCAAAACTGTTTACAATGAAGCAATCATTGAAAAATTTGAATCTAATTGTCTTTGTAATGTATAGGTTGTTTGACAGTCCTTTCTGATCTTGTAATGATATCATTTATAGAGGTCTAGATTTTACGCTTAGGTGTAAGTGTGTTGGAGTTTTGCATGTTAACCTGTTGATTGTTGTGATGGTCTTTCATGCTCTATTCTTCAAACTTATTTTTGTGTCTTATGCACATTTGGAATATTGTGCAACTCCTTGTGTTGGCTTCTGTTCCTCAATGTTGCTCCTTCAGTGTTGAGCCTTCGTAGGATCTAGGCTCACTACATACTTTTCATACGTCTACGGGTAGCCAAGTTCCCTGTGTGGGATCTGTGAATCTGACCTACTATCCTGCACACTGATTAGGCAGTTCCGCACCTGAATTTCAGTCATGCACCGTTTTCATGCTGCCTTGTTTATCGAGAAGTTTGTCCTGTGTCTCTGAGAAATCCGACAGGTGATGGCTCAGCAAAGTTGTCTTAACCCCCCACCTAAACATGATCTCTGTTAGTGACGGTGAGCCTCCATTGAAAACAGTGCTTCCCGTAATTCTCTTGCTGGCTGTGCAGGCCTCTGAGGGTCCATGCACAGCAGCAACTTCTGGCGCCACCCATTGCAAAACCTTGGAGCAGCTCTATCTGTGTGTGTGTGCTGCTTAAAGGGAACATTGGTTGACAGGCGTAGCTGTGAGGTGTAACAGAGCAATACAAAAATCTTGTTTTGTCACCCTGAACTTTATAATTGCTTTATCAATGCAAACCATTCGATTTGGAGTAACGTGGAGAGGCTGTCCATGGTTTTTGCCCCATTGAGACACACGTTCTTGAAAGATCTGCCTGTATACTGTAACCTATTTTCACGTATCATCTCTTCAGCTATAACAACGGGACTGACTATTGTATTCATTATGTCTGTCGTAGACGGCTCGAAACTTTAATTGACAATTATAAATTCGGTAAAGTAGTCAGTGGCTGGAATGAAAGGTCATCACCATATATAGTAACTAAATGTGTAGTGGCTGTGGGCCAAGGGACTAATGGAATCTCAAGAGGGTGTAGAGGTTCTTTGTGTTGCTATGGTTGGTGGCTCTGGCATGACTGGCATCCTCATTGTCTTCACTGCCATTGTTAATCCCTGACCAATGCCATGCTCTTGTCCCTGAGGTAGTTGTGTCAATATCTTCTGTCAAAGTGCTTTTGAGTACACACTCTTTCCCTTTAAACATTTTGCCTCTTGAGATACCTAGTTTGTGTCTTACAGCTAAAAGTGTGTGTGTGTGTGGGACCTCTTTTATCACATCAGGCTATCTTTCTGTGAATTATTAGTTGTTCCGGAAGGTGGCTACATTTGTGCTGATCAAGATTTATCCGATTGACCTTCCACATAACTGCCCATACTGTCCGTTTGTAAGACAAAGGGATTTTCTGTATTCTTATTAAAATTTGGCACTCTACTCAATGTGTTCGAGGTAACCATTTTGATACTAAGTTTGTAGCAGATATTCAAGTCTTGGCCTTGTACTTTTACCAAAAGTCTAGGTGGTTTGTACCAAATAATTTTCAGTGCTCCCATATCGCCTTTGGTTTTAAGTGAGTGCTTGCCAGTCTTTTTTCCAGACATATGATATTACCAGTGAAAGATGCTTCTGTTTGATTTCATCTGCAGTGTTACACTTTCATTATGTTCCTCTTCGCCTTCTGGTCAGAAGTTCTTTTACTCTAAAGCCTTACCCTGGTCAGACTTGCTGCTAACTGCAAGAATATGATTGCATTTATACAGGTCTCTGGTGCATCCCCTGTTGTTGCTCTCAGTACACTGCACCTACTTGTGTTTGATCACATCCTTTTGCTTGCATGACTTACAAATATCTTGACGTGTAGGACATGTTTGATGCAACAGCCTGCACTTTGCACACCCTGATTGCTTTCTGCATCCTAGCTATTGTGCCACTTGTGATGATTGCATTTAATGCTTGCAGATGTCGTTGTCTGGCTATAAAGACTTTTTATTCTCTGCCATTCTTAAGCAATGTGTCAGTGTTGTGAGAGATAGTGGGAAATGCCGATGCTGGAGAATCTGAGATAACCAGGTGTAGAGCTGGATGAACACAGCAGGCCAAGCAGCATCAGAGGAGCAGGAAAGCTGACATTTCGGGTCTGGACCCTTCTTCATAATCTCATCCCTCACACCGCCTCCCCACAATAATAACCAAAGCAGAATCCCCTTCCCCTCCCCCATTTCTGAAGAAGGGTCCAGATCCGAAACGTCAGTTTTCCTGCTCCTCTGATGCTGCTTGGCCTGCTGTGTTCATCCAGCTCTACACCTTGTTATGTCAATGTCGTGACTTTTTTTTAACAAGAGGTCCTTTTTGAAAATTTTGACAGACATTGAAGATTTGACTAGCTTTGTTATCCACCAGACTCCTTTACCTCTGAAAACTCAGTCCTTGCCTTGTCACTGACAAACGGATTAGTTGACCCTTATGACTATTTCCTGTAAGACACCAGCTCTAGACAATGAATTTTAAAGTTTACTTAAATATGAAGCTGATCTTCTAGCATTTCCCTTGGCTTGGGATTTCCCTGGTCGTCTTAAGACAGGCCTGAATTGTTGACTTGATGCATTTCCAGTGACCATCTTCATTTTTTTACCTGATTCTGTAATTGCTAAATCTGAAAAGCATAGTTCTATTCTTTCTTTAAAGAACTGATTTTAATAGGATGTATGTGGCTTTCCAGTTCATGCTAGAGAATTTGATAGTCCACTTTCATATTCCTGTCTTTGCAAATGCTGTTCACGACTAGGAGATTTATAGCAGTCTTGTTGCAATAAGGTTACCATGTGTGGAGATTCAGCAATGCAGGTACTGTGTTTCTTTTGCTTTCTTAAGTTTAGTTGCAGCCAACAGCTTTTAAATGAAGCACTGAATTTCTGTCATTATTTTGGTTTGTGCTGGGTCCTGGTGTAAGTGTAATTTCAGCAGTACATCAACTCTGTCTGAGGCCTTTTTCAGCGGTTTTCAAAGTGGATCACTATATTGTTTTATAAGAGAAATCACTGCTGATTACCCTGTTATATTTCTTGTGTTACTTGTAAGCAGCGCAGAGTAAGTTGCACAGATTAGTTTACTTGAAACTTTCATAGAGGTCTATGTAACAGCTCGGATTAAACTGGCAGTTATAGATAAAGGTTGTTTCTGATTTCTAGCTTGCTCCTGCCAGAATGCATGTGACTAAGTGTTAAAGCAACATGGCTCTAAGAGCAATAACACTGTAATTTAACTTTTTTGTTTTTAAAGTAATGCTGCAATTATGAGAGCGCAGGGGACTTCGAAATCCAATGCAACGCCATCTACAAGCAAAGAGGCATCTAACAGTCGGCTGAATGGACTTAATGCAGCAGTACACTCGCATTATAATAGGTATGGTCAACAGACTGCGTACTGAATTGACTGAGGTTGATTACTTTTTAGCTGGGTATGAAAAACAAAGAATATGGAACCAAAGTGGATACAGATAAACCATAATGAATTTGAATAGCAAAGCATGTTTGAGGGGCTGAATGACCAACTCCTGTTCAGGTTCGCACCTGTAGGAAACATTTGTTTGTGCAGCCTCAGCAGTTATTCACTTGTTTGTAAAGGAGGAGTGTTGTAAGTGAGCCACTTATTTTCCTTTCTCTGTGGAAAGAGGTTTTGAAATCTGAATGACCATCTTGCTGTTTGCAGTCCCACCTTTACCTGCCTGAGAGAACTCCAGCATTATGCTCCTAGGCCTTGAATGTCTAACAGACTGCAAATGATCCGGATGTATTTAGAAACTATTACTTCTTATTGTAAACGCTTTAACAATGTGATACCATAAGCTAGACCAAGTAGAGAGATTTAAGTTTAATTCATTTCTACATCAATAACATTCTACAGCCATAGGATTTGTGTCGCTCATCTGATTCCTTCTGATTCCCAATTTTAACCACTCCAACGTTGACAGACTTGTCTTGTGTTACATGGGTTCTCAACTCTGGGACTACCCTTTCATTTGCTATTATGATTCTTTTTAAAACTAATTTGGCCAAGGTTTCCTAATATCTCTGATATCAAATTTTGTCAATTCTCTTGTAAAGTGTATTTGGACGTTTTACTATATTCTTGTGGCTAACTGAAATAAACAGCCAGGCTACTGAATGACCAGAAAAACGATACTGGATCATTGCTGTTCCAGGTGGAAACAGTTCAGCCTGTTTTTTTTAGGCCATACTCAGTCATCTTCAAAGATCTTCAATCTTGCCTCTGAGTCACAAGGTGCCAAGTTCAAGTCCCACTCCAAGGCCTGAACGCACAAATCTGGGCTGACATTCCAGTAAAGTACTGAGGGAGGAATGCGCATTTGGAGTTGCCACGTTTCAGGTGACACGTTAAACTGAGGCCTCATCGGCCAGCTTGGATGCATGTGGACCATCCTATGTCACGACTTCGAAGAAGAGCATTGAAATTATCCCTGGTGCCCTGGTCAATATTTATCTCTCAATCAACATAAAGTTTATTAGGTTATTATCCTATTTTGCTGAGTGCAAGCTGGCTGCCACTCTTCCTACTTTAAAAGTGACTATACTTTAAAAAAAAAAATAAGTACTTCGTGGCTGTGAAGTATTTTGAGATGTCAGTTGTGAAAAGCACTTTCTAAATGCAGATTTTTTTTTACATTTAAATTTCTTCACAAAATATTGGGGAACAAACTTGTAGCAATATGTGCTTCTCATTCCTCATATCAACATCATTTCCCTATAGATAAATAATTAATGGGCTTAACCAAATATTGTCACTTATTTGCCTGCTAAATGATGTTTCCAGTATCCTGGAATACTTTCTCTTCACTTTTTTTCCCATCTACCTTCACATAATGGGAATGATGACCAATGGGTTCTTCCGGTATCTTTTCAAATTCAATGCCTATTGTGCAGACAATTCTGTATTTTGAATGCGGTTGCTGGATCATAGGATATTTTGTTCAAAGTCATGCAGAGTTCATACGTTTGCATGTGCCTAATAGGCTGCTGACTGTTATTTGTCTTGTGGTACTGTATCTCACATTCCACCCTTTCCCAGTTAAAGAATATTGAAGAGTATTTATGGACTTACAACTGCAATCCTATCTTACGTCAACTGTTCATCACAGATCAAGCTTGGGACTTACCAGAATGGTCTGACTTGGTCCTGCAATAGATATAATGACCAGGGAGAATTTACAGAGGCGACACTGGGTCACGTCTGAAGTTAGTAGATGTCACTTTTGGAAACCAGTTGCCTTTGAGATGAGAAATTGATTGATTCTTGTTTTTGTTTTAATCACAGTAACCCACCAAGATCATCACAGAGACCTGTCCCTCCATCTGCATCCCTGCAAGGAGGATTGGTAAGTCCGAAGCAGTGTGCGATTAACTTTTTAAAGCAATGAGAGCAGGAAGTTTGTGTTCTGGTGATATCCGGACTGGGTACATTTTGTTGGATAACTGTTGCTTAAAGAGAAAATTGGTGGAAATCAATTGAAAGATATTCAGAAACTTCTGAACTTTACTGAACAGCATCACTGGCCCCAATACATTTCCTTGTAGCGCCTGGCAAGAACATGATTCTCACGTTGGAAATGTAGGTGCAACCTGAATCAATAGTGTGTATTTAGGTAAAAATATATGCCACACTTTATCAGTACAGTGGAGTTTTAAAAGACCTAGTATCAGTTTTGGCAACCAGAAAAATCCACAGCAAGACCCCTTCTTGAAATATGCTCACACTCCCAAAACATTAACTTTTCCACCTGAAGATACTGATCTGTGTCTCTATTTTATTCCTGAACCTTGGCATGCTTGTTGATGTCAGGTGAAATTGCAGTGGGTTTGAATCTGATATTAGGTGGGAACTTCAATTTCTAGGCTATATCCTAATCTGGTGGATCTCTTTGAAAATGCCTCTGTAAGCGTGTCCTAACAATGAGCTGAACTATTTCCACCTGGAACAGGAATAACCCAGTATTGTTTTGTGCTTAGTCATTCAGTAGCCTGGCTGTTTATGTTAGCTAGCCAAGGACATTATGAAAATGAGCTGCTACAAACCCTTCAAATTATACTCAGAATAACAGCTACATGTGAATAAATAGCTTCTTTGTAACACAAGTGCTTGGCTATTTTATGGGTATATGTAGTCCCTTATTAATTTATATGGTGCCAGGACTACTTTAAATCAGAACACTGAAAAGGCATGGACAATTGTGTCACAGGTAGTTTTAAAATCTGCTATGAGGAAGTGTACATGTGCAATCGATCCTTGAAACTAGCACAGCCTTAGCAGTATCCAGCTTAATTTACATAGTGAGCCCTGTTTGCAAGAGTGCCCTTTAAGTTGTCTCACGAAGCAAATTAACTGGCATTAGATACAGTTGCATGCCAAGGCCTGCCTCAGACAGGAGTTTCTCTCCTAATTGTCGATTGTCAGAAAAACCCATCTGGGTCAGTAGTGTCCTTTTAGGGAAGGAAACTGTCATCCTTACCTAGTCTGGCCTACATGTGAACTCCAGACCCACAGCAATGTGGTTGACTCTTAACGACCCTTTGGACAATTAGGGATAGAAAATAAATGCTGGCCTGGTCAGTGACGTCCTCATCCTGTGAATGAATATTAAAAACAAAAGTGACTCCAAGTAGTAGCAATCATCAGCTGTATTTGCAGATATGGGCATGTATGTAAGATTTGCTGCCACAGGTCAGGCTGTGGACAGATGAACCTCCGTCCAGTTGTGCAGGCCAGCATTGTGCTTTCATTGTTACTGACCTTTCTCAATTTTCCCCAGACATCAATGGAGATCAAAGCAGATTGCAAAATTTGTGCTAACTGCATGTATATAATATGCACAGTTCAATGGTCACTGGATCAGCCCCACAGTACAAGTAAATTGGGAAAATAATGGAATTGACTTGTAAGCAGTTTTATAATTCATATGGCTTTGAAAACTCCAGCAGTAAATGCAGACCTTTTTTTTTAAGTACTTGCCTTAATAAAGAAATTCAGTTCTGATTCACCTATAATTATGATGTAGCTGTAGAAATTGCATGGAATACCATGCACTAAATCTGTATCTCAGTAATAAAGTAAACTAGTGTTATTGTGAGTGAATTTTTTTCTTTTTTGGAAGAGTGAAGAGCAAGCCCTGCAAAGAGCTTTGGAGAGATCATTGGCTGAAACTTCAAGGAATGCACCTCCCAGGTAAAAAGCAAAGCTCTGGGGGCTTTTTGAGATCTATAACTGCCCACCTCTTGGGAATTTTAATTGATGAGAGTTATAGAAAGTTTTGGTTTAGGCTTATTCATAAAGCTGTCAGGTTCTGTTTCTCAATTTCATCTTATTCATAATTAAATGTAGAAGTCTATGCTATGGTTCTGCTGGTGATTGCTTTCTTCAGGGCACGTGGCATTTACCTATATTAGCCTAGATGGAGTTTGAGGCTATTGGTCTGTGGGAGCATCACAGCTAAATGTGGCCCTGCCAGTTCCCTGCATTTGGAATAAAGCGATATGTTTTCTAAAAAGGTTATTGATGTCATGCTTATCGCAAAGAGCTTCTTTTCCCTCACTTGTTTGACCTAGAGGTATTGCTAGCACTCATTGCACTCTGATCATTGTCTTATTGAGCTGAATTGGCACTTTAGCCTAACTGAAGTCTTCGTAGTTTGATGACTTCGTTAAACATAAATACTCCACTCAAAATAAGCTATCAGAGAGACAGTGTAGTTGGTTTCTGGAGCAGCCAGGGTCCCCTGCATTTGGCGTCTGGAGCCCTGTGGTTCATTCTCATTGTAAAGCTGCAGCTTTAATCATCAGCAAGTTCAGTGTCCTTTGTCAGTGGGTTGCAGCTGTGAAAACGTGTACCAGGAATGTTAAACAGCAACGTTTATCTTGTGTAGCCTCAACGGATGCAAAGACAAATTTGCAGGGAACTAAAATGACATGACAAGTTGCAACAACTAGAACGAAAGTCAGCAAAAGGATAAAGATGCAACAGTGATAAGTCTAGCCTGTGATGCTGTAATATTCCTTATTGCATGGCCTACAATGTTTGTGGCTCTATCTGTGATCGTTTTATAGATGTATAATTCCATGTTTATCTTGGCATTTATTTGTGGATTGATAAGCTGGTACAGCTCAACTACATCCACGTCCTTACTTTTAAGATTGGAAACCGTAGAAGCAAAATAGTAATATGCTGCCCAATATCCATAAAGCAAAGGGAAAGAGCCTGTGGTTTTAATGGAGCGTTTGTACACTGCAGTTTTTAGTCTATCTCACGCATTTGAAACCAGGAGCTTGTTATATAGCTTTGAACCTGGGTCCCGTCACATTGCTCCAGCATGTTCAAATAAACCTCAAACAGAATGCAGTGTAGGATTGTGGACTTGACTTAAAGTCAATGAAATGTAATTTTGTCAACCATGAAGCAAAGCTATGACTTTGTAGTTTATGGGATGGACAAGAGGCGGAATTCAAACAGAAGGTGAAGAGCTGTTTCAGTCAGTAACTGATATTTTTGGTTGACGCTGCAATGAAGTTAAACTGTACACCTGTGTTCAATGGAATTCAGTCTTGTTGGTCGAAAGTATGGGAACCCAGTACACTGCATTCTGAAAGGCCAGAATGTAACTTCTTTGGAATATCCAAGTGAGTAGTTGAGCCCAGAAAGGAAAGAATCCTATTCCCTAGTTTTGTATTTTCCATTGAACACTAAGTTGAATGTCTCCAAGGAAGGAGGAGTTGGAGAGGAAACGATGGCCTAGTGGTATTATCACTGGGCTATTAATCCAGAGACCCGGGTAATATTCTGGCAACCCAGGTTCGAATCTCGCCAAGGCAGATGGTAGAATTTGAATTCAATAAAAAATAAATCTGGTATTAAAAGTCTAATGACAATCATTAATCCATTGTCAATTGTCAGGAAAAAAAAACCCATCCGGTCCACCAATAGCCTTCAGGGAAGGAAACTGCCATCCTTGTCCGGTCTACATATTAGTCTGGACCCACAGCAATGTGGTTGACTCTTAACTGCCCTCTGGGCAACTAAGGATGGGCAATAAATGCTGCCTAGCCAGTGAAACTCTCATCCTGTAAATGAGTAAAAAAGGACATCTAGACCTAGATATTCTGATAGCTAGATAATTGTTTCTGAAGCATAGTTGGGAGTTGCACTTGGGGATCCTTTCGCCACTGCTGGATTCTGACACCCCCAGTGTCTCAATATCTCCCACCCACCCCGACCAACCTTAAACATTCCCATGACTTTCCTTGCCCCTGGCACCCTAATCTCTCATAACTTTACGTACTCCTTAATTCACAACAGTTGTCAAATTGCCTGGGATGCTGGGCCTTTAAAGACTAGAGTATGGCAGCTGATTGCCGTGTAAAAGGGGGTGTGGTTTGTCTTCCCCTGTCTGTTCTGTGCTACGTGGGACCTGTCAAAATAGAGGTTCAACTCCACATTTCTAAAGGAAGCCTGATGAAAGTCTTTTGTCAGAAATGTGGAGCATTCATTGTGTTAGAATGAATGGAGTGAGATTGCCACTCCTTCGAAAATGCTTGAGTTTTTTCTACCTTGTGCCCTAGCTATGTATCTCCAGCTGACTGCTTTAATGGACACTGTATCCAGCAATGGTTTGTTCCCTTAGCTGGAACAGGCTTGTAAAGAAGATAAGGCTGAAGCCACCTTGCTTCGGCTGTTTGTTATGATTTTCAGTGATTCTACAGCCACTCAAATTCAGATATTCTTTGCAATATGTGAACTTCAGCTTTTGTAACAAAAGTACAGCTTAAACACCCAAATGATCAATTGGAGCAAAAAGTCTGTTTCTGTGCTATAAATTCTATGTAAGGTGTTTATATTCCGGCTGATATCAAGAGACGAGTGTTACGTTCAGTATTTGGTCGGAATCTGACAATTGTTAGCTTTGATTGCAATGTTTTCTTTTTCATGTAAAGGTGATTTAATTCTACATTTTCTCCCCCAATCTTGTCTGTCCTATAATTAGCCATGCGGAGCAGGAAGACTTGGCCCTGGCCCGGGCTATTGCAGCCAGCGAAGAAGAATTCCGTAGGCAACAGCAGCAGGTAACTTCGGGCTGAAGGAATGCATGGTAACTTTGCAGATGTCTCTTAACACAAATTATCCTAATGTCCTCTATTATTGTAGTTGCAACGAACAGATTTTTTTAGGCCACTTTCATTTTTAAATGTAATTCAGTAGTTTTTCTATTCTTTTAAATTAAAATCATGGGCTCTATGTAATTGGGAGAACTGATTTTGAATTACTGAGCATTTGCGACTGCTAAATTTATAAGGTAATGTGGGCAGTATCACTAAAACACTCAATTGGTTGCCTTAATGACTGGATCAGGCCTCTGCCACAATTGGACTCTTAATTCCTACCCAATTCTCCTATTATGTAATTGGTAACCACGGTTTGAACAAAAATAATCCCAAACAAATCTTGAAGTTAATTACTTTTTAAAAGGCTCTGATTGAGACTCGGGCCACATTTAAAAACATTGATGGAAGGGGGTGCAAAATATGAAGGCTCTTTCTTTTTGTGCGTGTAAAGCATGAAAGGATTTCCTGCTAAGCTGCCCCAGCTGCCTGTCAACTGCGTCTGATAACTCTCTGACATCAATGAAATTCACTGAAGCGTTAAATTAATAAAATCACGGAGTCTAGTTTGAATTTCAGATGACTTCAGGAGCAGGCAAATTTTAACTTTCAATTCTTCTCTCATTCTCTATATATAATGGGGACAGAGAGCTCTTAGAGATGGGGGTTTATCAGAGCGCCTTGTGTTCCATTGACATTTCTTTTGTAGAATGCCCTACTTCAATATTTGAAATGCCCCTCTCTCTCTGTACCCACTGCAACATTGTGAGCAATGGAACAACTGTACGAGTCCACCCCATTCAAATTCTCCCATTATCTTTCTATCTGAGGAGGATTCTTTATCAAAAATCTCAAATGAACATATGTTACCTGTCATGCTGATGTTTGTTGATGTTTACTTTTCACGTGTCTACAGGTAATTGGTAACATAATGTTGCGGTCCTGGTCTTGGCTAGAGCTATTTTTTAATAAAAGAACATAACTCTTGCCCGGTGGCTAATTTGGACCGCTGAGACAGAGGGTTCATATAGGTCCAAGTCTCACTGGAGACTTGGATACAGAATGAAGGCCAACGTTGTCAACTGAAGGAGTGCTGCACTGTTGGAGGTTCCATCTTCAGTTGAGATGTTAAACTACTTGCCTACTTTCTGTTGGGTTGACACAAAAGATCCCATTGGCTCTATGAATGACAGTTAATTCCCCTGTACTGTTTCTGTATCTTAGTAACCTTGCTATGTCTTGCCCTATATGATTTGATAGCCAAGAGATAATTAGAAAAACAGTATGGGAATATTAATTAGTTGGAGAAGTTTAGGTAAAATAATTTATTTGCAATTAGCAAAAGCAAAGTCATTAACAAAAATGAGCCAAGTCCAATGGTTTGATCTCAGAGTTGAGCAATATTACAAAGTATCTCATGCAGCAGGAAACCTGAGCAAATTAGAAATGTTTGACATATGGGAACAGGGAAGTTAGGGATTCCTGTTCTACGCTTTCTGGATTTGGAGCAGCTCTTCACAGATAAATGGGCGAGTATATTGCCCAGCATGTTAATTTTCCATGCTCTTTCTGCTCATGGATGCTGACTTTTTCTTTTATTTTCAGACACAGCAACGAAGTTCCAGGTCCTTGCCTTGTAAACTGTCCTGACTCTGGCAATCTGACTTTGTAATACTACCTTGTTTTCGATTTCTTAATCCATGTCCTTGGCGCTGAACCATGCTTCCTGTGGGGGGGTGATGGAAAAATCAAGCTTCCGGTTTAAGGAAATAAATACCCTTTGCTCAGTGAATGCTCCTATAACTCTTATGATTGTATGATTCTATTAACAAATCAAAGCTTTTCTGTTGTATTCTTGTAAATTTATAAGCACAGGCAATTGAATAATGCAAAGCTGAACATTATGTATAGCGTAAGAGTGCACAAGGTGCAGCTGTTCTATTTAATCATGCGCTACGTATGGTATTTGATTTGTTTCTAAGAATAAAATATTTAAAAATTGCTGTGTAAATGAATTTGTAGTCAATAGGATCTTTTATCTAAGAAGTTCCGTATAAAGAAAGGACACGGTGCACCCCATGCTTTCTGGCTGGAAGATGGGCTCCTAATCTTAGCTCCCAAAGTGTCCATTTTATATACACAAATGAATGTCGAAAGCATTTCACCTCAGGACATTGCAAGAAGTGCAATCCAGCCCTTATTCCACACGTGCTTCCCGGGCTGGTGATGGTCAGTTCTTGACAATGGTCTTGAGTAAGAATCTTGGTTAACTTCACTGCCCTACTAACTTGTCACTGAGTGGGAATTGAACATGGATCCTTTTGGTATCAGTCTTCTACCATCTTGGGCATCGTAGGAGTTGATGAGAGATTAGGTATAAAATTGCACTCTGGGTGACACCCAGGAATGGGTTACAGTTTACCCTTGTAGCACTCTTGTGTTTACACCTTCTACCCAAAAATTGATATTGCTATCATAACTCTGTCCCAGTTCTTTTTAACTTAACACTGTGCTGTGTTCTTTTTCTATTTGCAGTTTTTTTTTCTGGCAGCACTTCTGGGTATTTCAGAGGATGAAATTTAATAGTATTGTGTTTAAAAAAAATCTTCAAAGAAAGCACTTCCCAGATTGATTTATCCAATTAACTTTATCAGTAAAGTTTCATTTGAAACCTGTTAAAGTTGGATCATCTGAATAGTCACATCTGCGATCTCCACTCTTGACAGAAGTGAAATTGTTTGAATTTTTCTGTATGTTAAATTGAATTGTTTAACTACAGCTTCAAGTGTACTGATTTTTTGATTGCATTTGTTTAAGTAAATGTTTCTATATTCATGGTGAGAGAACCTTCCTTCACTATCACTTTGGTTATTTAATTTTGTACTGGAATGATGTTCCCATTTTCAATTATTTAAAAATTGGGTGAACTAGTTTCTTCCCATTTGGTAGGTGTGCCTTTTAGCTATTGTCATTAATTTGAACAAAATGGAATGCTAGTGACTGGTGAAGTCACTATATGGGTAGTAAACCATTAACGATAGTAACCTATTACAATTTGTGAAATGTTATTGATGCGTCTTAGTTATGGATTACTAAACTGATTCATTTAATGTGACCGACTCACTTATTTTGACCAACAGCTTCTGTTAAACCCAGACTGATAAAAGAACAAATTTTCATTTCTGGGGGTATCTTCTGGGGGTTACGTTGAGCATTCTTAGTATTTCTCAGCAATGTTTCGATATTCAAAAAAGAGCTATTTATTTTTGAGTACATCAAGAGATCACTCAATTTAAATGCTATTGATCATGGCATAATATTGGTTAGGACATATGGAATATTTCTAATCTTTAATCTTGTATGTCCAAAGCCTGTCCACTGTTTGTGATGGAATATTCCCCACCTGACTGGATAAATGCAGCTTCAGCAGCACTCAAAGCCTAGTTTCATCCAGGACAAAGCAGTTTGCTTGATCGGTTTCACATTCTCAACCATTCGTTCCCTCCACCACCAGTGCATATGATCAGCACTTGTATCATCTACTAGATGCACTGCAGAAATTCACCCAGTCTCCTGAAAGAGCATCTCCTGAATCTACAAATCTACCACCTAGAAAATCAAGTGCAACAGATACATGTGACCTGAAACTATCTTGCCATTCCTTCACTGTTGCTGAGTCAACATCCTGGACCTCCCTCCCTTTTAGCATTGTGGATCTGCTGGCACCGAGTGGACTGCAGTGATTCAAGAAGGCAGCTCATCACTGCCTTCTCAAGGGCATTAGAAATGGACACTAAAATCAACAAAGCATTCATTCTCTGAATGAAGGAAAATATCCACGTGCAGCCTTAATTAATGGCTTCCCTTAAAGAACTTTTCTGACCATGTGGCATGTTTACATTCCTTCACAGGAATGTTGGCCTGTATTGTAGTTTACTTCCATGATAGGATTGAACCCAGTCACCCTTTCCATGTCCAAATGTTACTACTGAGTCTTGTAATTTGGGAAGAGTAGGCCCATTCAGGTCCATTTTGCATTGCACCTAGACTTCTCAAAAGTAATTCACACAATGTTAGCAATGCTGTCTTTAGCATGAAGATTAATCCTATTCTATCATTCCCAAAACCCTTGATGACATTACACAATGTTTAGACAAATATAATAGAATGATTTAAGTTATCCATATTAGATCTCAAAAGTGAAATGAGTTGTCATTGTAATGTAAGAATCTACAGCAAATTTGCACAGAGGAAGATCACATAAACTGCAATAAGATGTTGAACAAATAATCTATTAATATAATGACCGAGGTATAAATGTTGGTCTTGGCCACCAGGATGAATTGATTTCTTTTGAATAGTAGCCATAGTATACCTAAGAAAGTAGGCAGAATCTTAGTTTAATATTTCATCCAAACTACAACACTTGAATCAGCTTAAATTTTTTGCCTGATGGTATCAATGGATGATCAAGTGACTGAAAAATAGCAAATGGAATTTAATCCAGAGAAGTGTAAGGTCATTTATTGAAGTATCTAAGATCTTGAGGCAACTGGATATGGTAGAAACTGGGAGGAACAGATCCTCTTGTGGTGGTGTTGTTGGAGACAAACTAAGACAGGTGGGGATTTTCTTTTTCGAATGTGGAATTCTCTTCTGAAGATAGTTGTGGACCAATAAATTCAAATTTATTCTAGGCTTGATTTTGATTTTTGATGGACAAGGGAATCCAGGGATTAGAGGTGCAGACATGAAGCTGTAACTAAGATCACAGCCGGACCATCAATGATCTTATTGAATGGAGGTGCAGGCTTAAAGGTACACCTTCTCCTATGTCCTGTGTAATGCATTTCAGGAGGGCATACAAGACAAGCAAAAGCAAAATAAATTGTAGGATACGTAGAGCAGTAAAGGAAGTGTTTGCCTTTAGGCATCAAGCCTGTCCCACCGTTCAATATGACCATGTTTGATTGAACACTTCAATGCCTTTCACCCACCCTGTACCTTCATAGATTTCCTCCAGCCACTGCACCAGGGAGGTACCACACCATCCTGGAGTTATGTTTAATGCCACAGAAAAACCTGTTTGATCCCCTGACTGTAGAATCCCCTCTAACTAATCCCATTCCATTCTTCCCTTGCGGCTGAGTCACCCATGATGCCATGGGCTTTACTCTGGCTGCACTGTCTTAAAGGCTCATCTCCCTCACCAATTTTTGAAATAGAATCCTGGTTAGTAAACAAGGTTGACTCTGGAAATGTCTGCACTACCTGCCTGAATTTCTTAGACTGCTTGGTGGTCACCCATTACCTCTCTGCCTGTATGCTTATAATCTGCAATGTGACCACCTTCCTATATGCACTAGCCCCATAGTCCTGCATCAAGGAGGAAGACAACACTGACCCCAGCCATTGCTCAGCTTCCTAAACCAGAAGCATATCTTGTGCAGCCATTGTATAAGACAGATGGTATGTCCATGACTTCACACATATTGCAGGATATACATTCCATATGGCCTTTCCGACCTGCTATCCTGTAACTCTTAAAAACTACTTGTTACTTTTAGAGTAAACATGAACTTTCCATGAAAGCTTAACAAGCCTTTTGTCAGAAAGAGAGAGAAAAGGAGACTAGTGATTTAAACATAAATTAATTACTCAACTTACACTTTATGGATTGGAGATTAAGATCTAAGCATCTGCTTTCCCTGCATTCTGGACCTCATGCTGAAAACAACAAATGCTGGAGATTACAGTGGTCAGACAGCATTCATGGAAAGAGAGCAAACTAATGTTTTGAGTCTAGCTGATTCTCCAATATGCTCCTACGGGACGTCATGCTGTTGGTCTTGAGTGCAGTAAGGCCTCTTGGTTCACGTCTTATTTCGTCTCCAGCTCACTTCTCACTTTGAACACTTTATTTGCGGTAGATCTTAATTAAAGTACCTTTCTACCCCTCCTGCCCAAAATTTTCACTTTGACTTAAATTCCTAGATACACTCTGTCTCACTCAGGCGAAATCTCCCTCACTCTGATTGTGCAGCTTACTCATTCACAGGATTCAAAAGATAGTAGGGGAAATCGGTAAGGCCATGTGCAGTATGGTTTATGAGACAAAGTTAAACATTGTTTTTTTAATAAAGTTAGGCCACAGCTATTGTTGAGTTCTGCTTACTGCATTGCAGGAACAGTGCGCTCACGAAAGAGGGTAGAGAGGAAATTGCTATAACCTGGTGAGGAATGGTGATTTAGCTCCCCTCTTTTTAACTACTCTCAGGTGAAGGCAACCAATATTTTTATTTCTTTTCACCATGCAGCTATCACATCAATTTAAAATGTAGTTAACAAATCAAAATGCAGGAACCAAATATAAGGTTTTTTTTCAGTGTGAGAAAGAGGAATTTTATTACCTACCAACCCCAAGGGAACAGAAATAATACAAAGTAACATCATACACACGCACAGGCAGTAAGTTGAAAAAGGGAAGTGTGGTACAATCAGAAAAAAATAAAAGTTATACAGTTTAAAAGTTCTTAAGGTTTTTAAGATGTTAGATTATTAATCTGAGACCACAGCTGTTTATTTGCTGACTCATATCTATGGCAGTGAGGGAACATGTAAATATTTTTTGAGTTTGTAGTGAATGGTTGATTCACAATTTATTTTTCACTGGGCTGTCTTCTGGGACGATAAAGGAGAGTAAGGGTCTTTCACTCCTTATTGTCGCCAATCTATGTTTTTTTTCCCTCTATGTTCTTTTGCTTAAAACCAGCTATTGAAATATGGATTATTTGTATATTCCTAAATCCATCTCCATTATCTTTGAAAGCCAAACAGTTGAGACAGCTTTCAATTCCAGTATGTATACTTGCTATACAAGTGTGAATTAAAACAGTAGACACAAATTTCTTGATACTGACACAATTTGCCAGGGTTCAATATCTTTAGATAAAATGGTCATTTTTATGCACATGGTTATGTTTATTGCACATTGATTTCCTGGACATGCCTCAATCTGCTCAGCTGATCATGCAGCAATTTTAGGTGAGTATTTGTCCTTTTTAAAAACCATTTTAGCCCATGTAAGATTTTGGGTATAATAATCAGATATAGAGGTTAAAATTTCTTTGTTCATGTTTACCTATATTGTAAAAGGATTTACAATGATGTTTTAGCTATGAGGAAAGATTAAATAGGCTAGAATTGTTTCTTTGGCACAGAAGAGGCGATTTAATTGAGCTGTATAAAATTTGAGAGGTCTAGATAGAACAGCTATGCAGGATCTATTTCTCTTAACAAAGAGGTCAATGATCAGGGAAGTACATTTAAAGCAATTGGTAGAAGGATTCAAATGGAGTTGATTTTGTTTACACCCAGAAGCTGGTGGGTGTATGGAACTCATTGCCTGAAAGGGTGCTACTGATAGAAATGGTCATTTTATTAAACAAGGAGCACATGGTTATACACTTGAAGTGCTGTAATCTGGGGGATTACAGATCGAGAACTAGAAAATGGGATCAGGCTGGATAGTTCCATGTTCAGTTAGCACATGCAAACTGTGCTGCAAAGTTCTGATTTTGTTTTGTCAAGTTTCTGGACTGGTGTTAAAACAATAATCATCTTGCAGAGAAGTAAGAATGCTCCAATTGAGCCATTCTGACAGCTATTACAGTCACTTTTCTCTCATTCAACAGTCTATATTCCATACATCTGCCACATTGTCTTTTCAATCTTTCTCAAAGTTTGAGGCTCTGGCCTTGGAAAGTTTGCAGTTATTTGAATCCAGAGCCAGTAAGCAATAAATGCCTCAACAGCCTGGGACATCAGTTTCACAC